GGCGGCGGCGTCGTCGCCCGCCGCCGCCGCGGCCGCCGCCGCGGCGCCCGGCAATCCCTATCAGGGCTACTCGCTCACCAACGTCGACATGTCAAGCTTCCAGGGCGTCGATTGGGGATCCATGTACGGGATGGGAATGTACGTTTAAAGAGGGGATACGTATGATATATCGCACGCGCTCCCGCTCTCTTCTGATCTCTTGGATCCGACGGATCCTCTCTTCGAGGAAGAGATCATCTTCCTCGTGTACGATACGATATAATATTCCTTCTCCGAGGTTAATCGTGGCGCGAACCCCCCGCCTTTCGATTCTTATTCGGGGATTTAGTGTCTCTGGAAATGGCTCACCGCTCGCGCTGCAAGTAATAACACTCGACTTCGAAGGAACGACTTCCGTTAATGCTTCGTCGTTTTATCCATCGTTCTCTTATCTCCGTGAAACGATGCTGCTATAGGAGAAATGGATTCTTCGATACTTTCATCATGGAATGGCATCGTGGGAAGCGGATAAAGTGAAAGGATCCAGTAAAGAAGGTTAAAATTTCAATCGATTCGCGCTCGAGCGAAGAATGAGTAAAGATGAGAGCAAAGATTGCCAAGAGAATCAACCATCTTCGACGTATGGAGACCCAGCGAATGAAGAACACACCCGAAGAAGGAGAACAGAGTCATCTCCGTGTAATTATATGTTACTTTTCCAAGTGTGGAGATCGAACATATTTTGCGATTTAATTATACGTTACTTAATTTATTTGTAAAGAGGCGTGATTAGATATCTCCTTATATATGTACGTTAGTTTTTTCGAGTCCCTCGTCTTTCGTTTTCGTGCGGCTTCTCTTATATTACTTTTCACAATCACGAGTCATTGCGTTTCAGCACACTTTGGTTCCTATTTAGATTAACGCGTCGTACGCATTAGAGTCAAAAGCGCGTGCGGGACCGCGTTTTATCCACGTCGCCACGCCCATTACGTTAATCATCGATTAATTAACGCGATCCATTAGCGGCACTCGTTTCACAGCGTTCGCGGCAACCTCGAGCCTCCTGAGTGTTCCCGCAACAGCCGTTCTCTCGGTGCGTATGAAGCAATAAAAGGAAGAAAATCGAGAAGCGGCGGACGCCGTGAACGACTTTACTCCATATCAAGGGAGAAAGAGAGAAAAAGAGAGAACACTAAAATCATTTCCCTTCTGATTTCCGCATCTCTTACTTTCCGTTATGCGTCCCTCTTAATTTTCTTATAATGTTTTATCACATATTCGCCAACACCCCGATTGAGTTGTCTCCGTTAGCGATCAGCGGAAGCACCAATGCGATGCGTCGAACCAATGTATGCGCTTTCATCGTTACGTCGCGGAATATAAAACGTCATTTTCCCAATTACCTACTGGTATTTTTGAATAAAAACCAGTCGCTTTTAGACCTTCAGCACGATTCGAATCGTATAGCGAAAGACTAGTGCTAGAAAGACTTTAAGCCCGATCTACATAAGACGCAAAACGCGTCGCAGGTTGCACAAGAAAAATCAACATATTTTAATTATAATAATTTGCAGAATGCGCAGAAAGTTGGGTGAACTTCAATTTTCACGTTCTACGTCTGCGAGCAATTATATATAATCTGAAAAATACGTTTCACTTGTGACCTGCGATCTGTTTTATGTAGATCGGGCTTGAGACCCGCGTCCACAACGCCAAGTGCCAAACGAACGAACCGAAGGGAGACTCATCCACTTCAGAGACGGTCAAGTGCGTAACTCCCGAGCAACGAGCTCTCCGATTCGCGTTCCTTTTTTCGGGATCCGAACGGCAATGGCAACGACGACAACTTCAAAATAGAAAACGACGACGGACCCTTTCACAGTCTCTCTTCGTCGTATCGCCGTCGATGCTTCCGCTCATCGCTCTCGGCGGAGCTTCGTGTCTTTTCGCCTTTCCAGAGGCAACAGGTCAATATACATAATCCATTTTGCGCGAGCGGGCAGACTCTCCCGATATTACATACGTACGGCATACACGAGTAACACACGAGGGACACGTACATAACTATATATATATATATATATATAAAATGTATAGGTACATATATACATACGATAAACACGTATATACACATACATATACATATATATATATTTTTCTTCAAATAATGGAAGACAATATTTCTCCGCTCGCTCCCATCGCGTTAAGTAAGGATAAGACTATAGCGATTACACATGTGTAATTCGAGTAATTCGAAAATCGCGTTAATCTCTAAGCAAGACTTTTAGCGATTTGCGATATATGTAATTCGCGTACGAAAAGTCGCGCGCGTATAGCTGTTAAGATTAATTGACAAGATCACACCCGCGACACACGCTGCACGCGATCGGCGTAACGTAATGAGCTCCTAAGAGAGTGAAAGATGGCGAGTTGGCGAGTTCTATTTAAGTTAGGCTTAAGCGGGTAGCATTACTGATAGCGGAGATAGATATTTATAAAAGAGAGAGAAAGAGAGAGAAAGAGAGAGACAGAAGAGCGAGTAACAATAAGGAAAGAGGGCCGATAGCATGGCCTCAGCATGCGCGCGAAAAAGAGAGAGAGAGAGAGAGAGAGAGAATGTGAGACAGATACTTAAGAGATATTATTACGCATCTTTATAAAATATATTTAAGAGTTCGTGCGACTGCGAGAAATGGAAACCATTGAGATTAGCTCACGTAAAACTCAAGCGATAAATTAGATTTAAGTCTTTAAACCGCGTAAATAAGGAATTTGTGAGAAGTATTATAAAGAATATTTGTTAAGGAATTTGCGAGACAAATGAGAATATTTAATTTATATGTAATCACTTGTGGAATACGCCCCGAGATCGACTCGACGGCGACGAGTATTTAATTGATGGTATTTTCGCGAGAATTATTGTTCGTGTCTCTCGTAAGAAAAAAGAAGAAAAAAAGAAGAAATCCGTGTAATAAGTTTCTTTTTCGAATCGATATTTCTCGCTGTTTTTCCTTTCTTTTGTTTTATTAAATTATTCGTCAAAGTGTTAATAGCAATATATCTCGGAAACTATCATTTCTCATTTTAGTCTTTAGTTTTAAGCATTTTCGAATTGTTGAATGAATGCGACCGTATGATATCGTCGCGAGATATTCACTTAATTTATTTTCTTTACTTTCTATTGTCTTTCCTTTTGTTTTCGTATTACTAGTAGTTCGTTGTATTAAGTATTAAGTGCGATTGCATGCGTCAATTTGTCGCCCAAATGATCTCATGTCGACCGATGCCGACGAATCTCGAATATCCGCAACGAATCTCGACGGTCCTTTTTGATCGGAGAAGAATCGCCGTCGGCGAGAACGAACACGGGGCGTTCTTTGACGAGAAAATCATCATTGAGGAATATGAAGAAATTTCGAGCAATAAGCGATTGACTCAAACTTTTAACTGCGCTAGATTATTACGAGTATTACAAAAACGTCGCGGTGGCGCTTGTTCACGCGCGCGTATAATCAATATAAAGGGATAATCTTAGATATATATACACAAACGAATACTCGATGCGAAAGGATTTGGATAATAATACACTTGTCGAAACGAACATTAGAGCGTCTAGGAGAGCGAGAGAAGGATCGAGCGATGAGAGAGAGAGAGAGAGAGAGAGAGATAAGGGTTCAGAAGGAATTCTCTGATTCTTCTGAACACACAAGTAATATTCTCTAGTGATACTATATACTTTAATATACATATAAATATATATGAACAAAACAAATATAATTATATACATACACCGTGACGCGTTAAGGATAACAAAAAAACTCGCGAGTGATATTTATGACATATTAAGGGGATATTACAAAAGTAGATGCGAATGTAGAAGAAAGAAAGAAACGTGACAAACAGTGACGAAGAAGGTGGTGGATGAGCGACGAAACACGACGGAGCGAGCGAGGAGCAGCTGAGAGGCGTAATGTCTCTCGTTCCAGTTCCCATTCTTGGCGACTCTTGCGTACTCTCGTACGCCAATAATGTGAGGAATGGGCGCCGTACTTAACGAACTCTCCCGTCCCGGACAACCACGCAATATCGGCGCGGCACCTTCTCGTTCCTGCTTCGCCATCGATCCATCTACCTCTTTTCAGCTTCCTCTCTACACTCCTTCTATCTCTCTTTTTCTCTCTCTCTCTCTCTCTCTTTTCCCGCTCTAGGATATTTTCACATGAGAAAGGAAACGAAATTAATTACGACCGAGAGTATCTGTTCGTGTATCGCGGTTTCTCGGCACACTGAAAAACAAGTGTTTGGTATTCGTGATTATAACTGTATGGTAAAACAATTATGGTTCCAATTTTATAATTATTACTGCTATAATGTCTCTCTCAGTAATAATTATATCTATAATTCCATATACTAAAAAGAAAATAATCATTTGTTTTCGGGGACGGGAGGAAGACAGTCACAATTATTTTACCATGCAATTATAGTTTACAAGTACCAAATACTTTTTTCTCGGTGCACGAAGGGTAGAAAGAGAAAGAGAAACAGAAAGACGCGCTGTTCGCGAGTTGTTCCGGAGGGAGATGTTTTTCGAGCCAAATCGGTATCGTCGGAGCGTCTCGATGCCTTCTCGATGTATTTATTTTCAAAGTTGCCTTTTAGAAGAGCGCAGAGAAATCCTGAGACAGGCGCTCACAACGAGCGCCCGACGATACTGTTTTATGGCTTTTTACGAAAATCTTGGGCTACGATCCACTTTACGCTACTTTTTGATTGATCAACCAAAAAATGCTTTAAAGCAGTCTTTGATTGATCAATTAGTAAAATTCTTTCCTCTGATTAGTCAATCAAATGTTTCGCAGCATTTTTAGCGTCGAGTGGACTGCACCCATTTTTGGAGCGCAAAGAATCGGGTATTGGAACTGGCGTAGTTTCGGTTGGTTCAATTTTCGACATGGAAGACCTTCCATCTCATTCCACCTCTTCCCTACCATGAATACATGTCGAAATTACTCGCAGTTCCCCCGGCCATCGAAATTTGATCTTGCCGAAGTTTCTCGACTGCTCTTTCACTCCCCGATTGATAATAGAATACTTCGCCTAGTTTCTATACGTTCTATATACGGGTCGAAACAAGCCTCAATCGTCTTGGGGAAGCGAATTCTCCGG